GACTATATGGTACTATATAACAAAGAAACTATTTGTGGTAGAGTTGATGACTAGCCCAAAAGGCAGGGTGCTATGTATCAAGGCAGACCCATTGGCGCATCTTGCTGTGTTGTCTAATAATCAGACTGGCAGTAGATCTTTGTGGTCTCAGCTACGGCTCCTAGCAGGCAACCCTTGCTCCAAAGATCCCATTGTGCCCATTAGGTAACATGCAGTTGGCCCTCTTCTGGTTGGAATCCAGTTCAGTCTTCTGCTAAGAGAAAAGCTTGGCTTATTGATGATTTATTGTTGTATGCCTTCAAATCATTTCTGACCTACAGTGATCCTAAAACTTACCTGTTACAGGCTCCTCTTGACAAAATTCATTCAGAAGAAGTATGCCTTTGCCTTCCTCTGAGGCTGAGAATATGCCATGTCACCAAGTAGGTTTTATGACCAAATGGGAATTTTAACCTTGGTGCACCACAACTTTCTCCACTGAATATTGTCACTTGACTCTGTGTATATCACTTAAAGGGTACAGGATTAACACCTGTGGACAGAGACAGAGAGATCTTCCTCCACCTGCCAAGTCAACTACACCTACATTTGGATTCTTCCTATTGTGAGTTTTAATTGAAAAGGAAGTTCATAGCTCATACCCCACAGGTCTGTATAAGGACCACTATGCAAGTCAGAAAGGTTTAAATCTCCATCAGTGGCATGTTCCTTGAATTTAGTCTCTATACCATAAACACATGGATTTTGTTCTTTAACATGGTGAGATTCCCCATTGGAGATAATGCAATATTTCCTTCCTTCATGCACGGGGATGTGAATTTTGAGAACAAAATTCAGTGTGTGTGTGTAAAATATGCTCTGCTTCTGTGTGCTGATCCCTATACAGGCTGAGACCCTGTGCAATTACAAATCTAAGCATTTTAATACAAAAGGATCAATGATATGATAGACAATGAACAAAATGTAAGTGCTCTTCCACACTGCTCAAGTTGTAGTGCTATGATTCTGCTTTAACTGCCATGGCTCCATCCTGTTGAATACTGGAATTGGTAATTGAGGGAGGTCATTTAGAATCTCAGTGCCCTTCCACACAGCCCTATCTCCCAGAATATCAAGGCAGAAAATCCCACATTCTCTGAGTGTGGACTCTGATAACTGAGTTCCAAAACAGATATTGTGGGATATTTTTTTTTGCCTTGATATTCTGTGATATAGGGCTGTGCAGAAGAGCCCTCAGGGAACTCTTCTAATGCCTCTCACCAAACTATAATCCCCATAATTCCATAGGATTCTAAAGTGGAATTGTAGTGCTATAATCATGTAGTGTAAAATGGCCCTTGAATTTGACCCTCAGAGATACCAGAAAGGGAGCCCAGAACATTCCAATGAGCCATGCCAACAGAGGCACAGCTATTGATCTATAGGCCCATGTTCACTGCAACAACCTTATCATCAAAGAGATCAAGGCTAAGATGGGGAACATATGGTCTTCCAATTGTTAGTGAGCTTCAATTTCTATCATCCCTAACCAACATAGGCAACGGTGGGTGATCATGAGTGTTGCAGACCAACAGTATCCAGAGGACCATATTTCACAGCCATTACTGTAGTTGGCCCTTCTTTCCTAAACCATTGACTTTTAACAAGTGATGAGTCATATCAGAGAAGTAACCCTAAAGTGTGTGAAGGAATTATTCTGCTGCAAAGGGAGTCTCCGCACTGTTCCAGCAACACCTTGCAACAGTAACTAGTTGCTAGATGTGGGCTTCACCTGCTCCTCTCACATAGGTGACTTTCATGCTTGAACTAATCTCTGTACAGAAAAAGATTTCTCACATAGCAATGGTTGCCCCAGCCTTAGGGCAGGTCCGTAGCCAGGATTTTGATTCCGGGGGGGGGGGGGGGGGATGAGTCTGAGTGAAAGAGGGTCTACCCTAGCAAACCTTTTGTATCATTACCCCAATACCTCCATGCATATGGGATGTATTGAGCATGGTGATCAGATCATGATATGAATAAACATAACAGTTTAAATAATGTACCAGTAAGGCCTTCTCGCGGACCACCATGAGAATTTTCCCCCCCCCCCCCCCCGACTACATACCTGCCTTAGGGTAAAACAAAACTGCTATACATGTGTTGTTGCATGCCTTCAGTCACTTCAGGCAACACTAACATTCATCTCTCATGAGGTTTACTTTCAAGGAGACTTCCCATTGCCATCCTCTGATGCTGAAAGAAGGGGATTTGCCCAGGATCATCCAATGAGTTTCTACAACTGAGCAGGGATCTGAATCGGAATCTTTGACCAAGACTTAAACCATTGCCGCACATTTAGTCTCTTGATGATAAGATAACCATTATTTAAAGTTGGTGGCACATTGCTTTGAACATACTAGAAGGAATATGTTGCTTTTTCATCTGCAACATTACTAAAGCCATATTCATTTGTCATTCGAGACAATCACAAATATCTTCTTCTTTTCTCTTATTTAAGGAAAATAAAGTTTATTTTCAAAGGCTTTTGACTAAGAGTGCATTTTTAACAAAGTACATAAACCTCTGAAGGTCAGCACAAGAGCCCAGGCTGCCTTGTGGCTCCAACTGGCGGTCCCTTTGCCCATGCCCTGGTACAGGACTGGTTCCAGTGCACTCCCCTTTATAGCTTTACATAGAGACTATACAGAGATGCTTATGCTGGACTTTCAATTCAGTCCTAAACACAGTTTTGTTTTGTTTTTTAAAGAGGCAAATGATATTTTTCCACTGGTGCTTACATTCACATGAACATGTGTCCCAGTTAAGATGGAAAACTGGTATCCACTGATAAACAATGACAACAATTGGCATGCAAGTCCTAGACACATTTTCTCATAGAACCATTTACATAAAGCTCCAGCAGGGTAATCAGTTCTTAATAGCAGTTCTTCCAAGTGGTACAGCTAGAATTTGGAACCAAAGGACAGAGACTTGTGGCTTAGAGGGTCCCCCAAATAATGACCCAGAGAATGGCTGGTTATTGTGGGTAATGTCAGGCCAGCTCATCATTATTACATGGGCTGGCATGGTATCCCAGGGCCAAGTGTGGTGATGAGGTGCTATTTATTTTTGAAAAGATACTTCATAATTATGCAAAGTATAGCCCTAAAAAATTAAATCCTTCTTTTTTAGCAAGAAGAGAGTGGGACAGGAGAACACTGCTGTCTCCTGATGTCACCAGCATGCTGCCACAGAAGCACCCGGACTACACTATGCAAGATAGTCCCGAGACCATGACATGATTAGAGGCTATTGACAGGTTTCCATTGTAGTTTATGACTTCATTGCAAAGATAGAGGAGCAGGGACAATAGAGGACTGTCGTTCTACATCTCTGGGCTGCCTGAGCCAAAAAACACAGGATGGCAGTCAGGAGAACTGCTTTTGGTTCCGGTTAGGTGATGAACCAGTAACAAATATTTCAGTGTTGCTTCTATGCCAGCATGCCTCCTCCATGTGATGAAGTCCTTTGTTCACTTGTTGCCTTTTAAAAAATGCTCCATCTCCCCCCTTCTTTTCCCATGATATTTTCTGCTTAAATATATGAAACACTGGGACAGTAGAAGGAACCCTCAATTTGGACCTCTTGTCAAAATGGTACCAGGATTTAAGGGCATTTCTTCTTCTCTATCATGAATGTCAAGCAGGCTGATTTTGTTTGATTGCTCTAACACAGTGGTTCTCAACCTGTGCATCTCCAGATGTTTTGGCCTTCAATTCACAAAAATCCTAACAATTGGTAAACTGGCTGGGATTTCTGGGAGTTGTAGGACAAAACACCTGGGGACCCACAGGTTGAGAACCACTGCTCTAACATATCAAGAACTGCAAAGTGGTTCAATTGAGCCTCAGAGGCAGAAGGACATCCTGACTGCCCAGTCATGCTGAACATAGTTTAATGCCACTGGGCAGTCATCCACAGGACCCTCCCCCATATTACCATCTGTGGAATCCTCACCTACCTTGTGGCCCCAAAATAGGTAGGTAGTGGTGTCACAACTACTGACAGCCACGATAGGGGAGCAGGGACAATAGGGGACTGTTATTCTACATCTCTGAGCTGCCTGAGCCGAAAAACACAGGATGGCAGTCAAGAGAACTGCTGTTGGTTCCAGTTAGGAAACAGCCTACCTGTCTTGACTGTCTCTAACCCCCCCCCCCTCCCCAGTTAGCTTAACTAAGGGCAAGTCCACATTAAGGTGGCCTTTCCCTGGATTAAGTCGGATCAGTCCTGTGTGTTAATAAGCCACCACAAGATTAATCCACACACACTGACCTACATGGTCAGTGTAGCTGTGTCCTTAGCTGGCTCTTCCTAATCGATTCCAGGTTAGAGAGAGGAATCACAGAGCTTCAGTTAACTAGAATCAGATTGTAGACAGAGCTTGGAAATGTGCTGTGTTGGTTTTGTTTTAAGGCTTTCTTGGACAACAACACAAAGGATCCTTCTGGCCAGGCTGACTGAAGGTTAGGGTGGGGGGGTGGGGGGCTGTATTCCAAAAAAGTCACTTTTCCAAGTTTGAAGCCCAGGTCAGCTGCTGTCATTGAGAAGTGATACACTGGGAGCATTATGTGAGCAACACCAATATCCTCTCTTTCCCCACCAAACATGTAAGACCACATTGCACCCATCGCAGCTTGGTCCAGGCAGAACAAGATGGGTGTGCAAGAGCTAAAACAAAAACAAAATCCTTTTCATGCTGCATTTTGAAACCTCCCCCTGTACTTAGACAAGGCAGAACATTTTGCAGGAAGTCAACATTATGAAAATGGGATGGGGGCGAGGATAAGTAACAGTTATACATTCCAGGAGCTGAAATTGTTAATTAAGTTCCTGGCACGTCTGATATAAAACAACATTTCGAATTTCCATTCGGATATCGAAATTCTCCTTGAACTCAACCCCAGGCAGCAAGTTTTAAGGTCTCAGTGGGGGAGATATGTGAACAGCAGTAATACATGTTCATGTTTTTAAATAATTTCCTTTTTAATTGTTGAGGCAGTAATACTTGGTTCATGGAACTGCAATATACAGAGAGGTGAAATAAATAGCTTATATATATAATATATATTTATATATATAATAGAGCTGGTTTTAAAATATTCCCTTATCATTGGTGTTATTAGGTTATTTTACTTAGTCACTTGAAGGTCATTAGCAGCATTCTCCAGAAGTGAGCATCATAATGCAGGATCACAGAGGCGTGACACCTTATGTCGTCGGAAAGGTTACAAAAGACTGAGGTATTGAGCTCTCCACGGACGCTCAATGACAGATTTGCAGACCAACTTGTCTCGGTCGGACTTGTATCAGACAATAAAACAGATCACTGCAACACCAGAGAATTATCCAAGGGTTTTCAGGGACTTTGGGAAACGAACTTTGGTTTTCTTTGGTTTGTGGTTTTGGTTTTTATTAATATTAATATTATTATTATTATTCTTTTCAGATGAACTTTTCCCCTTTAGGGATTGGCTTGGAAAAGTTGTCCATTCCAAAAGGTTGTCCATTCCAAAAAGAGAAGTAAGCACCTGTATGTCAATCCACAGCATGAAAAAAGTCAATTTAAATAGAGCCATTCATTTTTCTTCTTCTTCTTCTTCAAGTTACAATAAATCTTTTACAGCTTCCCCAGTGGGTTTGTTTTTTCAACTGTCTTTTTTTAAAAAAAAATTAAAAACAATGTACAAAAATAGAGCTTCTCCCTTATTTTTAGTGTAAAAATATTTCTCTGGTACAGTCTATCTTTCGTAGTTTATTCTCCTGACACTGTCTTTGTCTTTTAACTGGGGTTGGTGGGTCGTATTCTCCTAGTCCTCTTGGTCACTGTGGTATACTTGAAAGGTTTCTGTAAATCCACTATACCCTTTGGATATCGTTTCATAAAATGAACGTCTTGCTGGTTTTCTCGTGTCTTGGGCCCTTTCCGAGGCCTCCCCTTTTTGGTGAAACCGACATACCAGCCGGAGTACTTTGCCGACATGAGCGCTGTGTAGTTGTTCTCTAGGACTTTCTCAATGAAGACACATTCTTTGCTGGTGCCATCCGGCTGCAAACAAAACAAAGCCAAGTCAGTATTCATCTATACCTCATTTAACAAAGTACAGTATGGCTCCCATACAGTTGTGGGTACATTCCAACATACATACACACACACACACACACACACACACACACACAACCTCTGGATACCTAAACCCATGGAAAATAGCAAATCCTATACTTTCACTATACCTGGGGAGGGGGCATTTTTAGAGTGTGAATAAGGGAAATCATGGATATCAAATCCGTGGATAAGAAGGGCATAGTCTACATGCGTTCATGGGCTTTACTTCTTAATTATTTATCACTAAAAACAAAATTGTGAAATAGTGGAATACTCAATAGCTTTGGTAAAATACATTATTCATGCAATTCTATATAATATATATAGGCTGTGGAATCTAGATTTATTGGCACCAAATTTTGATTGCCTATCCACAAACCATTAAATGTCTCAGAAGTAAGCAATGGTAGCTTGTCTTTAACAAATCTTTCCAACATGGGATGTTGACTTAATCCCATGCCGTTAAATCAGCGTTTCTACTCATTTAAGAAACAGCAACCCACGTTGCCTCTCACACAACGCAAGCTTCAATCATGGGGTTGAGATATTTTGCCATTTCTAAGGTGTTAGTTTCCCCAATGTTTCCTAAGCTGGTTGGCAATTGACTTATTTTTAAATTCCCTGCATAGAGACGGGCAAAATGGCCACTTCCCCAATGTGGTGTTAATCTCCGTTGCCTGCTTGTAAACAAAGCAATGATGCCATGTGTTGGAGGAGCCGAAATGCCCATTTTCCCTATTTTAAACCATGTCTTACAATCACCAATGCAGAGGATTGGAGAAAGATCTGGGTTCATTTAAAACCACTTCCTAGGATCCCTTTTTAAAAAAAATAATAATTGAAATCCTGTCAGGACAATGGGAGGAAACAAATCTCTACTGTTTGATGGCAAATCAAATGGATAAATCCTAAAGAAAGCAGAGAAAAGGAGAAGGTGTGATGGAGGTAGGAAAATCATACATTTAATTTCCAAATACAAAGCTTAAGAGAAAACCAATGATCCCAAACACTTTATTTATTCCGTGGGATGAAGTCCTGTGATTGATTCAACTCTACAGCACAACACAACTACAACAGCAACAGCAATGTAATAATACTAATAGTAATTGTGGAAAATAAAGCACTGTATAGTGGTTAAAGTGTTTGACTGGAATTCTGAAATCCCAGGTTTTCAAAGCAGAAGTCAAAGCAGTTCTCCGTGGACACTTTATCCCAGACCTGGAGTGTTGAACTTCAAATTGGCCTCAAGATGGTTCTTACCACCAGTCCTCAGGCCATTGAGGAGGTGGGAAGGAGTTCTTACCACTAGCTCCACACTTTTTTTGTGTGTGTGAGTCAGGAGCGACTTGAGAAACTGCAAGTTGCTTCTGGTGTGAGAGAATTGGCTGTCTGCAAGGATGTTGCCCAGGTGAAGCCTGGATGTTTATGTTTGACCATCCTTGTGGGATGCTTCTCTCATGTCTCATGTCCCCACATGGGGAGCTGGAGCTGACAGAGGGAGCACAACCTGCTCTCCTCCGATTTGAACCACTGACTTATAGGTCAGCAGTCCTGCTGGCACAAGGGTTTAACCCATTGCACCACCAGGAGCTAGAGCCCCACACTGAGGATAAGGCACAAAGGAGTCTTGACCACCCCGCAATATTGAACCTGCTCCAGTGCCACTGGACATCCTCTTTGACCTAAATATTCCTAACCAATATTCAGAGAAACATATTGAATTCCTAGGAGAACACATAATTTCTGTGGACACTGAATAGAGAAATCAAAGGATGCTCTCTTATTTCATTAACACATGTTGGATTTACTTCAGACATAAGTAATGATTGTATTGCCTAAAATGTCTATTAAATAGCACAGATAGACAAACACTTTGCCAAGTCAGAGAAAAAAGGAAAAATATTTAGTTTCTCTCTGGAATAGATTCATGCATTCTTTGCCGGAAATGTACAGGAGAGTCACAGAAAGATATAATTCCAGAGATCTGAAGTAATCTGTCATCTCCTTCCTTCAAAACTTTTGTTCACACACAGTTCTGCACTACTGCCAACTCAGCAACTTGATTATATCTCTTTGAGGCCTGGACCCAAGTGAAGGGTTATTTTAAGGGAGAAAGGAAATATCACTGAAGAATGAATCAGATCCCTATAGAAAAGATGTTGGACATTCAAATTTAATTAAATATTACTCAAGAATAAATATGCCGTACCTTGACTGGGATTAACTATATTCCCAATCTGTTTTATTCAAGAATTATATTCATCATTCTTATAACAATGATAAAGTTAAGTTGGAAAGTTATTCCTTATTTGTCCTCTAGCTGTAGTCTATAGTTTACAACTTTCGTCTACATAGCTGTGCTATGAAACATGTAACTGCATGAAGTAATGCTGTTCAAGTCTTAAACTTAAACTTCTCCTTCAAAAACATTTCATTTACTGCAAGGCAAACAGGTGGTTTGCCAAAGAATTGTACGGTGAGAACGAGCCTTTACAGAAATAACACCTGCTAAGTTTAGCAGGTCTCTTTCTTAGGTAATGGGATACAGGATTATATCCAAAGTGAGTCTGAACACAAGGAGAGATTCCTCATCCACTTCTTCCCACTGTCTTTTTTTCTGAGGAGCAGGAAAAGCTCTAGAGATGGAGCTGCAACTGTCCTGGCAGAAAACAGAATACAGGCAATGCAATGCCCCCTATCCACAGCTGAAACATTACATAACTCTACAGACACACACTATATACAGTATGATACACACCTCCTATATCTGCAGGGGATACATTCCCAGACTTTGCATGGATATGCGAAACCTTGGAAATCAGCAAATCCTATTGAAATGAAGGTCTTCTGGTTCACGAATACCATAGAGCAGATCTCTACCGAGACCTATAACCCAGGGTCAGGCTGTCATGCCAAATGGTGAACCAATCTTTGGCACGGTTCTCACAGAGACTCCTCAGCTGCTTCAGAAACAGGGGGGAGTCCCATGCAATTTGTTACAGTAAGTCATAGCAGGATCAAGTGTGTTTGTTAAAGAAAAACCTTATAATGTTATTATGTGCAGCTGGTAATGTAGGTCAGCCAGCATGTTTGGGGTACACCCGATGGGGCATAACTGTATGAATGTTAGAATACAGTTTGGAGAAGCAATATGCTGCTCTGAAGGAGATGAAAATGCTGTAATGCTGTTATGCTGTAACAGCAATGCTCTTTGCTATGGTGGAATAGCTATTTACTCAAGGTTTATGTTTTGCTCTCCCATTTGAAGAAGAAGCCTTATTCTGTGTTACTTACAAGGACTATGTAAGTTTGTTGCACTGTTCGATTTTGTATGCAACACTGCAAGTTTATGTTTTGCCTCTGATGATAAGAGTAAAGTTTTTTCTGTTCCTTTTTTTCCTCTTGCCTGTGTGTCTTTTGCATGGGACCTGGCTAAAATCTGCTTCTGCGCAACACAATTCAGCACCACTAGGTAGACACCTTAACTGTCCTTCCTCTCTCGTGCACACACACCATATTGTGGCAATATCCAGCAGCAACACAGCTCTTCCCTATCTACAATCATATGATATGACAGCCAGGGTGACAGTACATAGAGGAAGGGGAGAGAGGTGGAAACTAGGGCTGGGCGGTTTTGTTTCGTTAATTCGTAATTCGTTAATAATTCGTTAATTTTTTCAGTTACAAAACGATAACGAACCATTCTGGAGCAATTATTAAAAAACACGAATTTTCAAAAACGTTTTGTAAATGCTTCGTATTTCGATATTGTATTCGTTTCGTTATTGTTTTGAGGTCGTTTCATTATTATTTCCGCATGTCTGGGCCAGTTTTATGGTTTAATTAGTGAAAAAAAATTATAATATCACACCAACAGTCAACAACAGAGGGAGAGGGAAGCTTCAGAAGGTTTTGGAGGTTTTTTAGCGTATTTCGTGGTCGCGTCCACCATTAACGAATCGATTCGTTATTGTTTCGGAAATCGATTCGTTAATTTTTTACCATTTACGAAATTTCGTAAATATCGAACTTTTTAAAAGGAAAATTTTGTAATTATTTTAAATATCGAAACAAAAAAAACCCCAAATACAAATCGATTTTAGAAACAAATTTTTACGTTGTTACCCAGGCCTAGTGGAAACTCTCCCTTCACAGTGTGCCTCGTCATCCCAGACAATGTCACGGTACATGACAGCAGACATGTAAGACCCATGTGGCGACCAGAGACTTCTGCAACATGGAAGGGGGAGAGAGAGGTAATTCCATGTCCCTGGACTGCCTGGGATGGCAGTGGGGATGATTGCAGTCACTGGCCCAACTCTCCCAACAGGTCCTAAATCAGGGGAAAGTTTTTGGGTAATGTGTGTAAGGCCATGTTAAGATGGCATTGGCCCACATCACTGTCGCGAACCCGGCCACATTATCAGGAGCTTAGGTTTCAATAAACAGCAAGAGAATTAGCCGAAGTCAAGAGTCTGATAGCACAGAAGCCCAGATTCAGGAGTCCTTGAAAGTCAAGCTGGAATAACAGAAATACAAGCCACAAACAGATAGCTGTGAGCCAATGCTGAGTTCAAAAGTACAAGTGGCCAAAGTCAAGCTGGTGAAACAACAGAGTCAATTCAGGAACAATGAAAGCCAGAAGTCCGCCAACCCTGGAAGTTCTCAAAGTTCTGAGAACTACAAACACTGAGTTATATACTTTATGGAAATCTAGTAGCACTTTTGAAAAGAAACTGAACTATACAAAATCCATCTCCACTTCTACCAAATAGGTGGTCTTTACATTTCTGCTCCACGTATGCTTTCATATCACATAAGTATGGTGCAAAGATTTCACTTAATTCCTATGGTTCTATCCTGTAAAATCCTGGGATTTGCAGTGCAAAGAGAAGTGGGCATTTTGAATCTTCAGCCTGAGAGCTCTTTTAGTGCCTCTGACC